AATGGAGGGGAGTAGAGGAGGAATGGAGACATTTTTTAAAAATCCACAAAAAAGAAAACCATCTTCAGCAACACCAATCCGTGGGGGGGGGGGGTGGAAATGTAGATGTTATGTAAGCCTAGCTAAAAACAAATATTTTAATATTAGTTATCATTTATTGAGTGTTCATCTCTCTGTAAAATGACTAAAACTTATTGAATTATTTCTAAAATGACAATAATTGATTGAATATTAATTTGAGCTATTCTATGGAGATTTCGAATTGGCATCTTTCCTTTGCCCCATAGATCTTTGGATAGCAGAAAGTAGAAGCTGCCTGAAGGCACAGGCTGTAAGATGTCACAAAGAAATAGACTGCCTATTTAGAGTAATTGATAGAGTGTGTCTGTATTGGTTAGGATAAATGAAAATCCCTGAGAACAAGGCAAAAGGATCCAGAAGAGAGAAAATATGCCAACATCTACGCTAAGGTAGAAAGAGAAATTCCATTCAGAAAGGAAAGCTCCAAAAAAGTTCCCTTTGTGTTTTTGGTCCATTTAAGAGCTTTTGTTTCCCACAAATTCATATTTGAGAAAGGCCACCAGGCCCAGTGGTAAATTTAAAGCTCCTGCAATAACTGGGTGAGGTTTAGATGAAGGGAGTTATTTCAGTAACTTCAAGTCCTGAGTTTTCTGGTTTCTAGGTTTAGAAAGCCTCCTCTTGCACTTCTCAAGCCACCTTGTAGCCAAAAACTTATACATTTTTCTGCTGTTCATATTATAATGATAGGTTTTTTAGGGGGGCAGATCCAAATAGGCAATTAGATGATGGAAAAACTAGCTTAAAAACGAACTTAAAGTTTTGTTTACCCAGCACATTTTTCTGTCCTCTTTCCAAAAGGTAGCTCAGATCTTGCAGACCTTCCTGAATTTTTTGTTCCATATAAGATGGCAATTTTGAAACATCGCTGCTGGGTGGTGTGTGCATGTAAGTGACAGTGATGAACTGGACCACCCCACTGCAACAACAAAACAAGGGTTTGTAGATGGTCTTAAGTTGATTTAAGGGCAAGAAAAATATGAATATTTGCTGCTCTTTCAAATTTATGGAGCAGGATTCATTGTGGCTAGAAGTAATTTTGAATGTGCTTTTTCAAGCTGCTGCCCCTTCCTCCCTTGAAATACTGGTATGTTCTGATGAGTAGACTCATTCCTAGAGGTCTATTTCTTAAAGAAATAATGATTAAAGAGGTTAGAAAAGCATGTGAGGTTCTATTCTATTTAAAGAAAGTTTCTGGCTTGCTCCTTCAATCTCGTTAGAAATAATGCACAATAAATAAGGCAATCCTGAGAGGTCCTGGGACAAGTGTTAGACACTTTACTCACTTCTCATAGGTTTAAACCAGTTATTTCTTTTTAACTTAATTAGGTGGAGGAGTAAGCTTCTAGCTTTGGTTACTTTTAAGAAGTTAAGGAAAGTCTACTCGCCAATTCTTCCTGCTCAGGTGTTCTTAATACTGACAGCCTATGGGAGCAACTCAACAACAAGGATAACAGCACATACACTAGAACAACTGCCCTTTTCTGTGCACCCCACTCTCTCCTGCCCTTTCTCCTCTTTGTTGTCCAAGGTCTTTCCATCCCTCCCACCTGATGTGGGAGCCTGCAGGCATTTCCGATTTAAAAGGCCCCTGCAACTGGCAAGCTATATCTCCTACCTAGAATTGGCTCCTTTTTAACTTTTGTAGAGCAGAGAGGATTGAGGAGAGAGGGAGAGATTTTCATAGACACCCTGAAATTGCTGGAAAGGGTAGACTTGTTAGGAGATGTTGTCAGCCAGAAGCTAAGGTCAAAGGCAGGCAAGTTTGTTTAGGCTGAGAGCAAAGAAAAAGCATTCCATTCAGGAGCCCAGCTTTGCAGGAGAACTGCTGCATCTCTCCACAAAAGAAGTATTCAGGCCCAGTATGGATGACACTCCTCAGCCAGGACGTAGGGGGTTCTGAGTCAGAAAAGAGGGTAGAAAAGGTCATATCTGGCTCACTTCTATATGGTGATATACCTTTGCCCCTCTGCATGCACACACATGCACATGTTTATATCAAAAGGTAGGGATTTAGTTTACATAACTAGCAGATAAAAGGTACTAGTTCAGTGTTACCACTTAGTGGTGGACATTTAAACCAATTATTATTTTAAGTTAAAAAGTGGGTGATGTTAAAGAAAAGATAAATTATAGAAGAGGTGATACATGGGTATAACAACTGTTTCAAAGTGAAGTTCAAAGACCAAGTGTCTTGGACCTTCAAAGCAATTTGTTACACTTAGGGGTGAAGCTATAGATCTCCTGAGGCCAGAATTGATCAGGGAGCTGAAAATAAGTGTTGCTTGACTGAACTTAGCCAAGACTCTTTATCTTAACCCACTCAGAGAGATATAAAAGGATAGGGCATTTGATCAAAAAATAACTATAAAAATGGAAAGCAAGAAATGAAAGCAAAGCTACCAAAAAACAATCAACAAACTATCCGTAGAAAGTGGATTAAGACAGAGGTCTGGGCAATGGGGAGAAGGGAAGAGAAGACAGAGAAAGAGTAAGAGAGGGAACTAGCAGATGTCATAAATGTTAACCATGTTCCCTTGAACATGGAGAACCCCAAGCTTCCTAATGGGCAATGCAACCTTGGGACTGCCTAGGAAATATGTGTCAATGAGATTCCAGTGCATTTTTACATCATTCCTAATTTCTGCCATAACAAGTTTCTGGTTGACACCATGACTAAATACAGTTATTTCTGAATACATGTTACTCTACTGTCTATGGATCTTAAAACAAAGAGGTGTCCTCATTTCTCTGATGGTTGAGCTCAGGAAGCAATGTCAGTAGCTTCAGGACCACATAGACTCAAAAGCAGAAATCCTCCAAATAAAAACCCATGTCATTATTCCAGAGACCCTGTTTTAGTGTGAGCCACTGAGGCTCAGCACCAAGCTGGTCGGTCGCCACAGGAAGGTAACAGCCCATCAGGAAGTTAAGTGTCTACTGTATGAGACACAGGACCTCAGCCTTTACCTCATTTCTCCACCATAGCTCTAGAAGGCAGGAATCTCATTACCTATCACCTCCACTTAATTTTTTCAGAATAGGAAACTTTTCTTTTAGGATGCAGGTAATATCATTTGTCCAGAACTCTCCACTGACATTAGGGTTTAAGCCCACATGGTCTGGCTACAGAATTCAAACCCTGAGCCAATAGAATGACATTGTGGCTGTCCTGGAACAAACTTTGATAAAGGCAAGGAAAGAAAGGAAGGAGAATGGTAAAAAGTGAGAGAATAATAGAGAATGTAATGGGGTGGTGGGCCACTGGGAAATTATATCTATACTTGAAACATTAGAGTACGTAATCGATGGGAATTAGGAGCAGAGAGAGAGCAAGAACAAGAAAGAGGGAGAGAGATAGGGAGGGTGACAGAGAGAACTAGAATTTTTATACTTTAACTTAAAGAGGAAGATTAAGTAAAACTAAGTTGGAAAGGAAAGCCAGACTACATAAGAAAAAAAGTAAATACAATAAATATATAAATATATATGTATATTAATTATATACCTTTATAAGGCAGGTCTCTAAATCTGTTAAAATGTTGTAGGGTAAACTGAGGTGATCTGGCTTCCTCACCCAGAAGTCTGGACAACTAAGGGAAGCAGTTTCCCATAACTTTAAGAATGGGCCTGATAAGTAGTGTTTCCATAGCCTTGAGATGGGTCTGATAAACTGTTCCCATAGCCATGAGTGGGCTCATATGCAGAGCATGAAGCTCTGTTGCATAATATCTATTAGCATCCTTCTGACTTTGTATGTATTCTAGTATTTAAGGGGGTAGAGGCTCCCTGCTGGGGGACAGGTGACATGCAGTGTGACACACAGGGAACATGCAGGGGGACATGCAGCTTGCAGCATGAGTGGATCACCCACCCTTGAATAAAGGCATGTCAGGCATTGCAACAGCTCTGTGACTAGTCTTCCATCTGCCCGAATTCCACGAACCTGTCTGGCCGTGAACAGTTGTAACACAAGTGTTTATCTGAGGCCTGCCCTAGAACTGGATATTTCACTTCAAACTAGAACCACTCACATAAAAGATCAGCCTCACCCATGAATCACCCTCACATCCACATCCACATATTGCCTCCCAGTCTGACCCTGGGTTCTTTTTTTTTAAGGATTTTATTTATTTTTAGAGAGAGGGGAAGGGAGGGAGAAAAAGAGGGAGAGAAATATTAATGTGTGGTTGCCTCTCACATGGCCCCCACTGGGGATCTGGCCTGCAACCCAGGCATGTGCCCTGACTGGGAATCGAACTAGCAACACTTGAATGAAGTGATGACATGTTAATGATATTAACAGTAGCTTTTCTAGACCCATATGTGCACACACACACATGCATAATTTTTCTAGTCATATCTATTTGAAGTAGTCTTCATAACTTCCATGTGCTTCATTAATTCATAAAATAAAATTGTGCTTTCTGTTGTTAGTTGAAATTAAATTTAAAAAGCACAGGTGCTGATACAGTTATGGTTGCTACTGTACTGTCATCCTAACTGCCTCAATAATTAGACACCAAAGTTAAATCCTCAAGTATTCTGGAGAATTCCAATCATGAGTTCAAGAGAGAAATCTCAAAACGGTTAGCTTGAACCATTGCACGTATGCTTGGAGAAGCAAGAAGCCATGAATGTATCTTTTCTCCTTCTTTAAAATGAAACTCAGGTTATAACACAAATGAGTGACTGTATTTGATCTCATCTCCCCTTTCTCGATACTCTCAATTACAGAAGTTTGTAACTGAGATTGTTTGACAATGCCTGGTTCATCTTTTGGTTGGGTGGGTTACTCCACGTCTCAGTGAAGAGAAGCAAACTTGTAAATGAATTGCTCTGGAATTTATGTCTGACTTATGCATTTTCTTTTATTTATTTCATTTTTGCATTGAAAACATTACATTTCTGTTTCCTTATAGAGTAGTGTATCAAGAGCCTGTGTATGGCAATAAATTGCTGCAGGTATGAAATCCTGACTGGTGGAAAAACTCATCACTCTGGTTGTGGGTTTGCTGTGAAATCCTACTAACAAGACCATTCCAGGGAGGGAGGTGTCCTCTAACATAGAAAAAGGAAAGACTTGACTGAATTTTCCAGTTTTGATGTGAATTCTTCTAAAATAGAGATGATCGTCCTCAAATTTCCCCTCTTTGCTAGATCATGAGTATATCAAAATGGGTGTCTGGCTTGGCCATAAATTTCTTAAAATGCATCTGGACTCAATTAAAATAAATTCAGTGAAAAAGAATTCTTGGGTTTCACTGAACCAACTGTCTAAGAAAAATTGTAGTTGGCTCTAGGAGTCAACTGGAATGTTTAATAAAAAAAAACCTCTTATGCATCTAGCATTGAGGGTCAGCATAGCTAATATATCTTTTCCTGGCTTCATTGTAGATTCTTATAAATCTATTCTTATAAATTTATTACACCTATTGCTATAGTTTCCAAACCTACTTCTCACTCCTGAGGCTACCCCCAAATGAACAAATTTGCAGGAAGAAAAGGAGCCACACATCCGTTGGAGTGTAGTTGGTTGAGTCTTCAAATTTGGTCTAATGCCAACATTAAAACTATCAAATAAAATGAGAGAATAAAATACTAGGATGATCAGTGGGGGTTTTATTACATGGGTTTCCCCATAACCTGCAATTATCATTTTATTTGGTATTAAGTCAATTAAGAGAGTACATTTTTACTGTGAAAATTAATCATTTTAATAAGAACTCTACTTTGAAAAAGGGGTACCTGAACCTAAGAGAGGACAAAATAATTAAAATTCCTGAGATGAACTTTTATTTTCACATTTCAAGAAAACTTGCCACACTTCAAAAAAAGCTGAATGTATAATGCAGATAAATTAGAGAGTAATGATTTTTATTTAAGTTTTTCATTTTGCAAATGTTCTTGTAAATGTTGCTTTCATAAATAAAATATTGAGGTAATTATATATATACCAATCTACCTGTTTTGCAAAAAGTGAGCTCCTTGAGTATTCTCAGAAAGGAGGAGATATCTATCTGTAATCAAGCCCATCACTATTCTACTAAAGGGAAACACACAATCCCACCCACCTTATTGTCCCACCAGCACACACGAGTTACACCTCTTTCCTAAGCAATTCACTATTTGGATATTAGAACATCTTCTGGAAGCATGCTCTAAAGTTAACAAGGCAATTTCCTTTGTGAAACTATTCAATACTTTGTGATGCAATGGAGATCCACAGTGCTCACCAGTATTGCCATAGGAAGTTCCACAAATGGAGTAACCACTTTCATTTTGTTTTAATTCAGCATTTCCCAAATCTATCTGGTCCAGGTACATTTCCTTTCCTTGCTACCATTAGTATCCCAGCAGCACACTTTTTAAAATGCGTTATTGGGACATTGTTAGAGATTCTTAATCAGTAACTTCTTCCCCCAACAGACCTCCAGGAGTCTCGCTAACATAGGAAATGTTTCAGACCTGGACATGCCAATATCTTAGGTGGCTACAGCTCATGGTGATGGCAGGGCTAAGGGGGCAATTCATGATGGCCATGTAAAATTTGTATTTCATGTAAGGTCACATTTATATTTTGCTGTTGTTTGTCATGTAAAATATGAGTAGGGAGTGTAGAACTACTATGTTGTGCTGGTTGACCCTATCCCTTGGTTTGGGAGTGGGAAAAATCTATCTGTCAAGGATGCATTTTTTTTTCCCTAAGATCTGGAAGGGCTGGTTTTAGCATGGACATGGTTTGGTTACAGCCAATGGAAGTTAGCACTCTTTTTTCGGACATTACCACAGAAGCTGGCAGAACCTCTGGCTATGCTCAGGGAACTGCAAAATATGGAGCAATAAAATTGATTACAGTTACCTGTTAGACAGGCAAATTAAAGCAATTTGTATTTTTTTATCATTTTACAGTATATGCACACATATACTGAGTTAATAATACACAACTCTGTTATTCCCCCAATATGGATTTCAAACAAAAGACAAATAACACAAGAAGAATGCAGTATAAGAGGCGGGGTGGGGGGACTGGAAAAAACAGAATTATCTTCTGGAGGGCAGCCCCTTTCAGTACAGGCTTCCCCTTCTAGGTTAGTGTTCTAGGAACTCATCTGTATCAGTGTAGCAACTGGTGTTGTGAGAGGCTGCGTTTGGCCTCAGTGAATTTTTTTGAAGACTCAAAGTGTTTGCCCATTTCCTGATGGGTAATTTACAAGTACACCTGCCTGCACCGTACTGAGTGTTCAGCAGTTTTTGACCCAAACTGTCATAACCCCTGTACCCCACCCTCCCTATTCACCCAGTCTTGCTCTGAGCCACCTTTTTTGTTTCCCCTGATGAGAAAGTCCTCAAAGGAGAGGAGAAACAAAAAACAGCAGAAGCACTAAAACAGATCAACATTTGAACAGTGGAAATAATGCCTCAATAGGTATATTGCATCAAGTGGAGAGGTTGTTGAAGGTGATGAAGGTGGCTGAAGTTTATACATGTAAGAATAAACACACAATTTTTTATTAAAAAATTCTGGGTTTGGGGGGTCCCTCCTTCATATAGATGTGTAAGTATTAGGCCACCTCACCCTTTTTTCCCAATTGTTATGTACTTCAGGGATCACATAGACCTGGGCTCCAACAGGGTAGCCATCAGCCCCATCTGGCTGTTTACATTTAAATTCAAATGAACTCAAATTCAATAAATTAAAATTTTATTTTGTGTACCAGCCATATTTCAAGTGCTCAATAGTCTCTTAGGACAAGTGGCTACCATATTGGGCAGCACAGATAGAGAACATTTCCATCATCATCAGGTGGCCAACTGGACAGCAAGGAGACCACCGAACACAGAAAAAAATCTTTCCATTAGCTCCACAAAGCTTAGCAAACAATTGCTTTGACTCTTGAATTGGGAATGCTTGTAAACAAATTCCTAATTAACAAAGAAAAGTGTCAGGGCATTGACCCCTTATGCCTGTCTTTCATGGAAACACACGCCTATATTCTCTAAATGGCCAAGCCATATGCAAATATGCAGAGGATGGGTCTTTCTCAAAGCTGCATAGATGAGCACACCTGTTGTGCGGATGGGTCTCAGGTGTACACATGTCCACTTTAAGTTCATACAATAAATATTGACCTAACAGAAAGTAAGGTTTATTTTAGTTATCTTCTGTTTGCCCTGCTACAATTATTTCCACTAATTAAACTTGCTAACTAATTTCATTGATGAAACTACTGCAGAAGTTGGGGGAGATGTACAGAGTTCAGACAAAGTGGGTTTGCAAGTGGGACATTAATAAAAGTCTTTGCTGGGACCAAATTCACAGTCACCAAATCATGATTAATTGACATGGCACTTGATGCAAATATCTCGGCAGTAATCTCTTTTTTATAATTTCTGAGCATGAGAGACAGAAATGACACACACACAGACACCCTTTCTCCACTCAAAGCTTTCAGCTGGTTGTAACTAGTGCCTCCTAGCTAGTCAGCTAGTCACTTCCCAGCTCTTCCCTGCCTCATTAAGTGTACTATGCAACGTGCATACCCGTGTCTTTCTGGATGCATCAGGGAAGCCAAGGAAATGGACAAGCAGATGAAAAGTATGGCTCCAGAAATCTTGGCGACCTATTTTTCCCTCAGCCCATCAGTCTGTATCTGAGCTTGTCACTGGTATGACAACTGCTTTGGTTTCACAACTCCTTGGCACATTTAATGAGTTTTCCCCATCCCTAATTAGAGAACATGATGTTTGGAACACCAGGTGGTGTCTGGCTAAGACCTCTTTTGTTAAAAAAAACTTTCACATTGTTTTTCAAGGGAGACTTAAAAAAAACTGGCTCCAAATTATTACTGATTAGCTGTCAGGATGTCTTGGATATATCTTCCCCAGGACTGATCCAAAGAGCAAACTTGTTTAAAGATAAACTAGCTTTTTAGAATTGGTATGTATATGATGCCAAATTTACTATGAAAGTTAGCTGTGGGTGGTAGAAGGTAGAAATAAATTATTGAGAGTAGTTTAATCTACACTTTGAAAGATAAACTTTGGAGCTTCCCCATTCATCTATCTTCTATCCTACTACTTGATTTTTCCCTAAAGAATATGGGGCTAAATATAAAAAACTCCTGTACTCTCAATTCTACACTTAGATACCCTCTGGCAAACCCATGATTTCATTATTAGGTGCCCTCTGACACAGTAGCCTGTCTTGAATTGCCCCTTTTTGGTGGAGGTGAGAACCTTTCCCTCAGAGGACTATGGGACTCTACATCCTAATTAGAACATGAATGTTCCCTGTGTTATCAGTGGAGTCTGGATCTTATTTGTTAATTGTGCTGAGATCATTCTACTGCGGTTGATGTATCGCTGTGGTTGGCTGAGCAAGAAGCTCTGTTATTTTCACAGTCTGATAATCAATGCTCCACTGAACACAATTCCTTTCAAATATGCCCATTTGCTTGTCCTCTGCTTAATTGAACAATTGCAATTACTGGTACATACAACTAAATGTTAATTATTTTTTCAGATTCTTCCCTCTCTTAATGATTTTATTTACAAATTGGAATAGTTTATCATATTTTCCACCCTAAATCCTCCATCTGAATCAGTGTGGCATCTTTAGCCAAAAAAGACAGAATTTTTAAGAATTTACCATTTCTTTTTAAAATAATTATTTAACATGCAGAAAGCTAAAGACAGTTTTATTTAATTACTTTCCTGGTTAAACAACTATTAGGTAAGAGGTTACTAATAAACTTTCAGTCTAAGGGTTTTTAAAAATAAATAAATACAAAAGTAAGACACAAGGACATTAGCTTGACCTGTATTGGATTTTAAAAGAAGTAGTCAAAGACTGAATAAAATGTAAGTTAATAGCTAATAAGTAAAGGTAAAGTGTAATCAGTTTTAAAAATCTGGAAAGTTCAGCAAAGTATCGAGTGTTTAAATAATTCCCTATAATCCTCCCCACCCCCAGACAATCACTGTTAACAGGTACATGACCTTCAAAGGGTATCTGGGTTCTTTCTCCTTTGGGAGTATGCTTACACCTGCTAACCTTTAATATCTAGCTGGGGTTGGTATTCAATCCCCTATCTCTCTGGTGTGTTTTGTACTTCTGCTTTGATACTAAGCTTTCATTAACCTCCACTTTAGATTGCTAGATTTGGGTAACTCGTGTGGTCTTGCAATCAGGTGTCCCTGAGTTGGGCTCCTTGGCATTCCTAAGTTCCATGTCTCCTTGTGTTTTAGGGTGGTTATGCTGCATACCGCTACGCCCAGCCTACCCCTGCCACTGCAGCTGCCTACAGTGACAGGTAAGGGTCTTCCTTTTTGTGCTTGACAGCTACTAGGAAATTAACTTAGCTGGTGGGAGACAAGATTCTTGTCCAGTCTTGATGCAAATGCATGACAGCTATGTAGGCAGCACCCACAAAGTTAGGTCCCACAGTGACACTAAAAAGAAGGCCATGTAGAGAGAGGGTAACACGTATGCCCAGTTTATTCTAAATTGTTGCCCTCTCTGCTAAGAAATAAAGACAATGATATGTTTTGTTTGTGTATAGATCTCTTAATCCTTGCGACAGCACACCTTGCATGTACACATGTACACCTGTGGTCTTTTATGGAAGACCATGGTCTCATCTAACTCATAGGAAGAAAACTAGAAGATGATCCTGCAGGTTTACCTTGAATTCAAGGACCTTTTTTTATAACTTTTTACACCCAGGAAAGCACTTTTTAATCCATAATAAAGGAATGGAGGAGGTGTACCTGGCATTCCCAAGGAGATTTGTTCTTTTTACATTGTCCAATTTTGATCCTACTAAGATAAGTCAACTTTTATTTGTAAAGCACATCACACATTAAGACTGGCAGTGGAAGGGACAGAGTGGGTTTAAGCAATGCAGAAGTCAGAGCGGGTGGCGGGGCTTGGGGTGGGTGGGTAGAAGAGCTCTATGAACAATTGCCCAGGCTTAACAGATGACTTGGTTCCTGAAATGGCTAGCCACGGCTATTTCTGTTTAGGTGCCTTGAAAAAAGAGAGTGTGTGTTTCCATATTGAATGCAACTCGTTGGCTCTGTTTTCTGAGGACATAAATGTGAATGTTCAGATGCTCTGCATGCTCAAATGTCATTGAGGGTGCTTATTTTGGATAATGAATTTTAATTTAAAACTATGTTTCATGAATAAAGCAGTGATGATAACAATTTGCATGTGTGGCTGAGGCATGCTGGGTCAGACAGGTAAGCAAGGGGATGTATTGGATTTTGAATGGGAAGTGTCAGCAGCCACTGGTCCTCCTACCTGGCCTGTTGTGATGTAGTTCCTATCTCGGTTTGCTGTGGTATGCTTTCTCTGCAGTTCCATTCCATTTCTCACAAGATGTGCTGTTAGCTCACTGTAGCTACAGAATTCTTCTGAAGTATAATAAAGCAAAATAAATTGCTGAACCCTAAAAGCTGCACTTTGAAAACTCCATGAGTAAACTTGTAATAAATGGCTCTTTGGCAAGATAGAATTGAGAGCTACTGTTTGGTTGTATGCAGGTATTATTACTATATTCTTATAAACATCTACAACAAGGTCTCAAGGCTGGAGGTAGCCTCCAAAGAAATCCAAACAATTGTCAAAATTCAGTTCTAAATATATAAGTTATGCAGTTACCCAATAATCAGTTGTAAAAGTATGAAATATGTAAGTTGCTATTTTCAGTACACTTTGACCATTTTGAAATACTCAAGATCATTCTACAAATGAAAAGGCTAATCCTATTAAATCCTGCTCACAGAAAATTCACAAAGTATCCATTGTAATGTGGTTTATCAACAATCCTTAATTATTTATGAAAATATCTCTAGATGTTAAATTCTCAAATACCCACTTTGTATGTAATTATAATCATAGTAACTTTAGCCTGCTATGTAATTATAAGAATCTTAAACAGATATATATTTTTGGGTTTAGTTGTTGCTTCTCAGTATAAGTACATCTACCCCCAAGTTAAAAACAAGGTTAATTACAAAGATCTAATTTAAATTGCTTTCTTCAATAAGGCCAATCTAGACATTTGAAAAAAAATGAATAATGTTTAACCCTATTCTTAGATAGAGTTACTTGAGGGCCTGGCCATCTCCATTTGCATTCATCTAAAAATTAAGTTAAAATTTTGTTGCATCTGGGGTACCATATATGCAGATACATGTATAAAATATGTTATTTTAATTTTATTAAGATTCTAATTGGCAACATGTCCTACTGAAAAATTGCCCTCATTTTTGTATTGGTAAATTTTGAATAACTGCAATTCCCACTTGAGCGTGATAGTTTCAGTTAAAGAAACCAACTAAATACAGTCTTGTCCATGTAATTGGCCTCTTGCTGTTTATTAAAGAAATTTGTACATTAGGTTTTCTTGGTTGCTATGGGAATTGATTACCACCCCTATTTAACTTTATTATAAACATGGTACTTGCCACATATGGAAATATTGCATTGAGGTAAATGCAGTAATAGATAAATTACCAGAAAGCAATCTTTAAAATGATATTTCTGGTTTAATTTATAAAGTATATTTATGAAATGATGGTCCTTCCTTTTACTTTTAGGAAGCAGGTAAAAGAAGGAAGACCCTTTTTTAGAAGACACATATTTGAGGGAAAATGTGAAATTGTCAGCATTGGTTTTGAATCTAGGCTGAAGATGCCAAATATCTAGAATTTATCCTAGGGCAGTTGTATAATATTCTCAGTTCCTATTCTCTGAAAGATAAAGAGAAAAACTTCTTAACTCAAAGATACTCTTCCAACATAGGAAGTAAAACCAGCAGGAATGAGAATGTTTAGGTGACATCCATGGTTGTCAACCTGATCAAAAGAGAAATTGCAACAAACATTCCCTGTCATCATGAACCACTCTTCAGATGTCTTGAAAGTGACAGAAGTTTGGTGTACCCAGTTAGTAGAATTTTACTTTTTATAAGCACAAATTAAGCTCTCATCAAATTAGGGATTCAGGGACCTTTGGAAAATATTGAACTCAGATAACTTCAGGATTGCCCAGAAGGACCTTGATGGGCAACTTGGGACTCTTTGCCCATCCTTTTCTTGGTTAAACTATCCCATGCTGGTTATCTTGGAGCACCCTGAGAGTTTCTGAATGCTGACATCCAGAATGAAGACCATCTGGTGTGGGCAGAGATTTCCCCAAAAGTAAAAGACCTGACTGACTAGGTAATTTTATAGTCTCTTTTGATGCATTTAATGGGAGTAGGCAAACATCTTTCCTTGGCATTTAGGAAACATTTGGTAAGCACTTGATGTCACCAAATCTTTATTTATAATCTCACTTTAATTTATGAAAAGCCAACTGTCCAAACTCTCAAAGGAGGTTGTTTTCTGAGCTTGAACCAATGAAAGCATGGCAGTGGGGCCGATGGTCATCTGGTCATTGCATGCCACCTGGTGTTGCTGATGTGTCCGTGATGCGTTCTGGATTTGACAGGTCCATCATCACATTAGCTCAATGAATGGCTTGCTTGAATTAAGCCTGGGGGCAGGCTTCTCTTTACGGATTGGCTCTTGGTTTCTTTGTGTATAATGACTTGATGGTTGTTGCATCTTTGGGCACCAAAACTAGAAGGTGGGGAGGAGGATGGAGATTCACTGTTCAATGAATGATGCCACAAATATTTGGGGAAATACATATGGTATGTACATAGCTTGGATGAAAATGATATCTCTCCAGAAAGGCAGACATATGTCACGCTTGTCCTGCTTGCTGACATTCTAACATCTAACAACCAGAGCATGAGAATATTCTTCCACATTAAGACAGAAGGGAATTAGATACAGATCAGTTCAAGAAGAAAGTAATACAAAGCTGTTCACTCAGAAATTTCATAATGATCCCATTGTACTGACAGTTACCAGGGACCATTTCTTCTTTCATGTCAGACATTATTTCCTTTAAAATCCCAGAAAGTCAGCAGCTTTATACATATGTCCCTGGCAGCACAGATGACCCTAGGCGGAGCAAAAGAGGCAACAAGCAACTGGGATTTGTTTATTTTTTACCCCCTTTTGTTTGTTTGTTTCTTGAGACCTTAAAGTTTTATTGGCAGTATTAGACTGTACCATATGAAATTGCTATTTTATATGACAAACATGGTGGAATAATGGCAATTTCATGTAGCTCAACTTAATAAACATCTAACTAAATGGCATAATATCAATTATCTTGCTCTTTGCATTTGAAATGTATTTGTATATCCATGCATGCATATGTACATTGACATACATATATGTAACACACATATACAAACTTGTGCTTTAGGACCTCGGGAAGGACTCATTAAACTATCTAGGTAAATCTTAATACAAGGAGGCCATGACTGGTCAAATTCAAGTAGTAGTCACAAGCTACATGCTACAACATTATTTAATGCTTATACTCATAACCTATAAAAAAAGTTTCTATTTAAGAAATACAGGGTCTGGCAGGTCTGGCCTGCTTGAGTGTGGTTGGTAAAGTAATAATTTATAGTTTTAATTTGAAAATTTCACCTAAAATGTCATATGGTAAGCTTGAGTATGACATTGTTATGTTACAGAATTACATGCTTATGGTTTTGTGATAAAAGATTTTGTAATAAAAAAGAAGTGTTATTTGTGCCTGACCCTGTATTTTAGTAGTTCTTTTTTAAAACTCAATAGCAATAACTAGGCATGCCTTTGGGGTCATGGAGAAGCTGGTCTGCTATTTAAAATTATATAGGTGATAGAGATATATAGATACATATATACATACATACACACATGAGTGGATAGATAAATGGATGGATAGAAAAATAGATGGATGGAGAGGTAGATGATAGATAAATTGATACACAGATATATAGGTGGTCAGGTGGATAAACAGAAAGAAAGAAGGAAGGGAAGAAGAAGGAAGGAAGGAAGGAAGGAAGGAAGGAAGGAAGGAAGGAAGGAAGGAAGGAAGGGAGGAAGGGAGGAAGGGAGGAAAACAGATAGCAAAAGACCATATCTCTATATTCTTATAGTATTTTATCACAAGCTTAACTACAAGAAATAGAATTAAAGCCATATGTACAACCTAAATTCAATCTGAACTGAACAAGTAAAAGGATTTGAGTTTATTTTTCTTGAGCACAGACTACTTCCTCTGTATTTGAGAACTTTTTACTTCTTGAATTCAGATGAAGTAATAGAGAGAAGCCACCATTAAAATAAGGCTGATGATTGCATTTAAAATAATATATCATGTGATTTGGAGTACTTATCAAATGATATAGACTAA